TGTCGATATCGTGGATGCTGATGACGTAACACAGGCAATTAATGTTTGTATCAAATAACGTCCCACTACCCCATATTATTCTAAGTTTTTGGTATTTTCATCAGTAAAAACACATTTTAGAGCATGTCTCAAAATGTATTCCCTCGGTCTTCATTAGGTAGATGTGTCTTGAAGTGATATTTGTTATTTAAGTAACTGTAATACCTCTGAATTTTAAATATAAGTCAAAAAGCATTTTACTAGCATTTCCGACAGTACTTTAATCAGTGAGACTCAGTGTAACACACTATGCAAAAGTGGTCATCATTTATAGAATTTACAGTTAGAGAAACAAGGCAAAAGCAACATGCTTGACATGAATGAAAGCGGAGTAAAACCTAACGAGCACTGGTGCCTGAGTGACATCTCAATCATAGCCAGTGTGTGATTCAAACCATATATATCATTCAGAATTGTTTGGTGATTTAGGCGTTAATGATTTGAAGATGTAACAATGTACCTGACGTGGAACTCCTCCTCGACGTAGCACGATCTAAAAAGCGAATAAGAAACATGAATAAAATATGACACGAATACAGTACAAATTAGGACTGACTGACTGACTGAGTTTAGTTTTACGCCGCTTTTAGCAATATTCCAGCAATATCACGGCGGGGGACACCAGAAGTACAAATTAGGAAACTACTGAATGATATTTGTGCAAGTCAGTGACGTCATTGAACATTACATATAAAAAATAATATATCATGGCTTTTCTAGTGCTGTACATGTGAAAGAATCGCATGAAAAAAATACATTCTAATATCTAAAAGCAAAATATGCAGGACCATATCTCACCTCCTGTTATGCTGTCGTATCTGCTAAAATTCATTCATCGTTCATCAGCAAACATGCATATTCTCTCTCTCTCTCTCTCTCTCTCTCTGTCTATATATATATATATATATAGACAATGTCTACAATGTCGTCCTTTGGCTAAATGTAAAAGAACTTTCTATATATAGACAATGTGCGACCTTTAGGCGACAGCTGTCGCCCTAAGCATATATTTCTGTCGCCTAAATATCTGCATGTCACAACTATGTTCTTTTCCTTTAATAACTATCCCAAAGTGGATGGTTGGATAGAAGGTCGTCTCAGAACCTTTGGGTGTGCTTCTTTTGTACTTTTATAAAACTTCAGTGCTGTTATTGAAAAAACATAAATATTATGTTTATAACGTCTGCGACCTTTCGGCGACACGGGGTTTTCTATAAAATTCTCTTACACCTGGATATATGTTCAGAAATAAACCATGGAGAAATTATCGTCTAGATATATGCTATTAGGTTTTGTACAGTTTTTTCAAATATACACATCGTTAAGTGTTCGCCATAACATTAGTGTTTCGCTCACACTAACTTTCGACGATATGGCTGTGCGTCAAAATAGTGAAAGTTAAAAAGCGGCAACGTTGAAATAAGCACTTAGCTCATAATTCAATAATCTTTGTAGATATTGTGGGGAGCCGACACACAAAACTAATATGCCACCAAGAACACGTTTACATGCTTAATACATTTGATACTTCAATCAAAATAACACTGTTATAATCTGTAAATAAATTTAATTCATGTTTCACGCGAAGGCCCGTTCACGTTTTGTGTCAATTCCGACCCCGTTTGCTACAGTTTTCTCGCACTACACGAGGTGACTTGGCAGCACAAAGCTATGGAAAATGTATGGTTTGTACCGTAATCGGAGTATTTTGTTGAAAACAGCAGCATGTAGAATTGTATCAAAGGCGATGCCTGTCCTATGACACAATTTATTTCAAGATTTCACAAAAAGGAAGAAATTGTTTGCCAGTAACTTGATCGCGATTGTGAGGTCTTGTATCATGTTGCCACTTGATCCACACCTAGACTATCGCTTAGTTTCTGAATATCTAAAAGTTTGATAGTAACAAACAAACCCATTATAAATTGAAAAGGAGCCCCAGGGAAACCAGAACCTGAGGAAATCTAGACTTGTTTCATTTAGGGCTTTAGCACTGCAGAAAGGGCTAGGCAGTAGGGAAAATACTGTTGTGGTTCAGGGACTGTGAAACAGACTAGATCCACACCCCGTAACAGCTAATCACAGCGCATTATATGTTCACTCAGTGAGTGAAATTGACCTGTTTCTTTTAGGCCAGCGTACATTCTTGTGCTTAGACTCATATCTAGTCGGTCAGCAGAACCATGTAATTTATGAACCCCTTGCGGTCAGTTCCGGTGCGGCAAGAAAAAACCCCTCATAAAGGCTCTTATTCTGACGCCTGATATTGACTTTCGCACCGATATATTTTTTTCTTATTTTAAATATATATCTACCAACTAATAGATAAATAAAAAAAAACAAACAGTCAACAAACCATTTCTAATTCAGGAACTAACCAAACCTGTAAGACTTGAATTCAGTAAAATTTAAAGGCCAAATATAGAGATAGCATAACACATTACAACCCTTTTTATCACCCACACTGCATATTTTGACAGCATCAGTGCTTGTCACCCTCTATTAGACCATGGTGTTAATACTCATTGGCATGGGTTTGCTCAAATAATGAGCTGATACTGCAGTGTTGAGGAAGATTTGTAGTTATAGTTTCATGATGTCACTCTCCATTGCCACTCTTTGCTGTTTCCTCTGATAGCTGAACTACACATTTTTATATCAGCTACACATTTCCTAAATGTTCCATGCAAAGGAAATATGCATCTGCTCACTTGACCATAATGTGTCAGTTACATTATTTTATCAAGAGTTTCTAACTTTCAAATATAGCTTTTTGTACTCCTGCTTTGAACCCTGCCCCTTTGGGTGTTTATGTGCAGTATATCTCCTCCACTGGTCTATCAGAGTAAAAATATCAGTGTTAAGTGATGAAATGTATATTTTGCACCATTTTCATGCTAATCTAATTACCTTAAGCTGGGTACTTAGATTCAGGCCCTCCTATCTATGTGATGAAAAAGCGTTAAATGAGATCATAATGATGGCGTATTGGTAGCATTGCGTCTGTACTGCTATCTAATGCAGTTCATATACGAACAAAAAGAGGTACTATCGGATTTGACAGCGGCTGTTAGCGGAATACGCGTACAGCCGCTATACTATGCGAAACTCGGTAAAATGCAGCGGAATAACTTCGACTGTATCCGTGAAAAACCGATCGTAGCTGAATGACAACACCATTTCCGGAAAAACATTGTACGACAAAATGGCGGACGAAACCAAACAAGTGACAAGGTGAGTAGTTTCTTTTATATATTCCGGGTTGAAGTTTTGACTTTTATGCATAACACCCACATCATTGATCAACCATCATGTATATGCAGCTGGATTTGTCATTTGATGTGGAATACGTGTTTTGTTTAATCAGTTACCGTAAATAAATGGGTAGGGTTCGGCCTCGTCAGTGTGTTCACTGTTCAGCCTCAAGTTAGGTTACACAGTTGTGTCTGAAAGAAGTGTTGCAGGCTGAATGTTAATCGAGGCTGGTATGATTTCTCCAAATCGCACATTGGTACCAGTTTATTTTTTCAGTGTTAGCATGTTGTGCCTATGATAGGTAGTAGTGAATGTGTTCTTGTTTAGATCTCAAGTACAGTTGTGCAAAGTGAAATTACGGTGAATTCATATCGGGAATGTTGGTTTATGGCTGTTTTCAGCTGACAACTTGATAAAAGGATATATGTCGTTGATTTTAATTCTGAATTACTTAAGAGGTGTGCATGATCAATTGCGCAAATATGTAACTTATTTCATAGGTAGTCAGGTGTAACTTGCATTAGAATATATGATGATCATGCATTTGGTATCTCAATGTTGATTAACATGTTAATTGGTTGAAATTGGACTCTTGGTATACAGATATTAAACACATTTCAGGTTCGTGAGTGGTTCCAGGCGTGTGATGACCCAGGGATATCAGCTATTGACAGATGCAGGATGATACATATAGGTATATAGGTGAGTAGATTTAGAATTTCCTCTGTGGACTTCAGATCATTGCAATATGATCAACATCCATAATGAAAGCTACGGCTGATTAAACGTTAACTCTCTTAACTTCATGAAATTGCTATATTTCTTATTGTTACAGGTTCAAGAAATTCCTTCTGTCACTGGCTGATTTGTCCGCTTCCCTCCTGTGGGTTTACATGTGAACACGTCCAAAATTTGTGGGGAGAGCATTGTAAGACAAGATCCAACCAGGTAAGTCCCACACCGTACTAGGAAGGCTGGTGTTGTTTGACATTTAAAAGTTATATATGTTTAACTAATGGCGTTTTCTAACAAACACTGGCTGACAGTTTTGTTTACCATTACTTTTTACTATTAATAGCATTATTAAATATGTAGAATCTAGCAGTGTGGTAGCTTATTGTTTAGATGACGAACTGAACAGCGCGCCATGGTTTACAGTGTGATTCCACAGGTTTAACTATTTGATCATCTGAATTTTCAACTGATTGCTATCTTGCAGAGGTCTTGGTGTGATATTTTCAAGTATAATAATGTTGGTCCTCTTCCGTCAAAGTTAAGCCCCTCACTCTCACACACACACACATACACATTGCATTCCACTTAAAGTGTTCTTCAATCCTATTACAGGACCACTTGTTTGATGCCCCCAGTAGGCTCATCCTGCGAGGAAACCGGTGAAGGTTATGTCTAGTCTGCATGAACCTGGTCTTGGAGCTACCACAAAGTCAAGGAAAGCAAGATGAAGCGACTAATAAGAGCTGGTCTTTCTGTTGCCGACTGTGATGAACAGATGTCAAAGTGTTGAATCTGTTATGTTTTTACATATGCACTTTCATAATGTGTAAATATGGGAATGGTAAAGTTGGACATGATGTGATGTTGTGTCTTACGTAAACAGAAAATAAGACATTTTTATCTACTGATTATCATTGGACAAAGAAAGTCATATTCAGATTTGTCAATGAATAAAACACTTGAACTTCATATATGGCTGTAAATATATCTTTATTACAAGTTAACATGGTTGATAAAAACAACATTAAACATATCATTGCAGTTATTTGTTAGTTATCTTTGCCATTAATCACATAGCTAACCTGGTTAGCCAAGCATCCTTCCTACTACTTTCAAAACACAAAGTCACATGAACAAACATGCACACATTACATTACAAACATGCACAAGTATTTTCCAACATCAACAAGAATTTACAATCTCTAACACCAGAAAAAGAGATTTAAGGAAATTCTATTACTAAATCTAAACAAATGAACTTCAAATAAGCAAAGGTGGTATGGTTATCGTGGCAATTATAAGTTGGATTTCCAAATTACGTATTTGGGATCTGACAACTGGCCATGGTCATTCATTCTACCAATGAAAAAATGTCATGACAGATTATGTTATGAGTTTACCACACCCTGTATTTGGATGCATGCTCATCATGGAGCAGACTTGTATTCCTCCATACCCCGAAATGTTGTAACTATACTGCAAACCTTGCACTTGACAACACCAGTCTGTTTGTGTACTTTAGCAACATGTTCCTCCAGCGTTTGGTTGATAAGGAAAAACGTCCCACACAATTCACATGAGAATTTGACATCTTTAGTGTGGCGCCTCACTTGCAGGTTCAAGGAGCCTTAGGTCTTGACAATCTTCCCTCAGGTCCCACACTGTAAAGATGGTTTGTGCTCAGTCGCTACTGCAACAAACAATGTCTCATCTATCCTGGAAGCTTGATCGGTGTCTCATCTAAGTGAGACACATCCAGGAAACTTGTGTCATCTTGTTGCTCAAGTCTTGAACACTTCTGCAGACTGACCTGTAAGTGTCAAACCAAGAGAATAACATTATGATATAAATTCAGAAAATATTATTCAAAACTAATTATTATGAGTTATATTTGAAACATGGAATGAAAAGGGGCGTGTGTGTCATGTTTGTCACATATCTTTACAATCTAATTTAACCGAAAAAAACAAAGAGAACTGAAACTGAAGGGCAATAATCTACCTCTTTGTGTGAGAATCACAGCTGGTGACTCTGGCACATTGGAAGACTTTGGTATTGGTCAGACTCCAATGTATAATCTCTGTCGACGGAGTTTCGGGAACAGTAGGGAGGTCACAACTGTCAGACATCTCGCCCATCCGTCCACCAGATCCCAGCACACTCGGCGACTGTGTATTTCCCAAAACAAACATGATGGTCTGGTAAGTGTATCTGTTACACAAAGTAATATAGGTTCAATCACATCTAGACGGGAATAAAATGCTTACTGTTCGCACTCACTTCCAGTTTTAAAATGAATACGTTACAAATATGGGGCAAAATACAACTGCGGTCTCTCCGACGTAGCCGGTCAATGAAAATATTGCTCAAGTCGTCATCGTCCGTAATAACCCTGAATACCATATTCACACTGAGTCTCACTTTGCTCCTCACTGAATCCCCTCACGATAAATTTTCTAAAGTCATGTAAGAATTCACTCAAAGCAAAGGAGGTTGGGTAGCCTCATTCCGCCGACCTCAGCTTGAAATCCGTTCGACTTCCATACAAAAACGCAGATAATGGACACAAAATACATTTTTTACGAAGATGAAGTATTGCTATCAAAGGGGGATGATAACATGCGTTCAATGCACACTACCTTCTAAATCAGAATTACAGTATGTGGAGCTAAGCGTTGATTGAAACACTTACCCTTTTCTCTTCTCCACTGTCGGCAGCCATTTTTCGCTCGCTGTGACGACAGGAAGTGTTGGCGTTGTTCGGCGAAACGCGGAAATTATCGGAGATGACCGAAAGTTTTCGGCTGCCGATGCTTTAGGTTCCAATAGCGGCTGTATAGTGCTTCCGATGCCAACCGCTTTTACAGCGATAGTTGCTGCATTCACAACACATTTAATGCTATTCCTTCGCATGTGGTAGCTAAACACACGATATAGTTTACTTTACATCCAATAATGCTTCTTTTTAGTCAAATAGATAGGAGGGCCTGAGATTGTAGCCTACAACCTTATTACCTACAAGTAATAGCTGTCTAGGTCAAACCTTGTTTGTTTTTAGTAACCTGATACATTTTGTGGCTGGTTATGACAAGAATTTGTAATTACTGGATAACACTTTTTACTGCTGCTGAGAGATCCTGAAAGATAAAAACTTTTCTTGCATTTGGCCCAGGACTATAACTGTGTCTGTCCACATGCCACTGCCACTCAGCCAGCATAATTATGACCAATACATCCTCCTACTCACAGGTGACTCAACTGACAACCATAAATGTTGGTTACGTTGTATTTTTCTGCACTTGGTCCAAACTTGATATAGTTTCAAATGCTTGAGATTTTCCACTTCAATTTGACAAACAAATACATGTACTGATGCACTTGGATCGGTTAATTTAATATTGAGCATGAATGCAGTCAGAATTCCCTTTTTGAGCTTTCGTAATTCCATAGCAGATATATCTTGTATATTTAATGCAGGAACATTTCCTCATTTCAAAGTCTAAATCCTGTACATTGTGTAACATAGGAAAGAGGGTAAACACCAGTGGACAGAATAAGATTAACTGAAAAATCAGGGATGAATCTCACTAAAAACATTAAGACATGTTATAACTTATTGATAGGTCAATAGACCAACTGTTTCTATGCTGGGATATGTTATTAGTCTTTATGGGTTTTTTTAAGTCAAATTGCATAAAAGGGTAATTTTGTTCAAAGCGGGGGTTTCTTAAAATAACTTTTTCTTCTTTTTTTTAAAAATTGAGGTGAACATTTCTTTCAATACAAACAGTAAGAATTAAAACCTCTTCCTGTTGTAAGTTACCTTTACAAAGCCATAACAACAGTTTCAGAAATGCCGCTTTGATGCATTTATTCAGGTAGTGTGCATCATTCATCATTGGCGGGGCGGTGGGGTAGCCTAGTGATTAAAGCGTTGGATCGTCACGCCGAAGGCCCGGGTTCGATTCCCCACATGGGCACAATGTGTTAAGCCCATTTCTGGTGTCCCCCGCCGTGATATTGCTGGAATATTGCTAAAAGCGGCGTAAAACTAAACTCAGTCAGTCAGTCATCATTGGCCCACCACCGGCTGATAGTTTGCACTGTCGCCTAATATCGACATCTCTGAACAGCACCGGGCAAACAGTATTGATATAAATCATAGAATTGATGATCGTTATTAGTAATAGTAACTTTAAACAAAAATCAAAAAGAAATCTGAAAGAAATCAACATATTTAGTATTAGTGGTGAGTTTTGACATTTATGCATGGATGACTAACAAAACTGCATTCTGAACATGACTTAGAAGCAACCCATGAATAAAGACATAACTTTGTATATTGTGTGAGTAAATTGAAACTATGTTTCATCACAATCATGCATACTATTTATGATATTATGGGTATTCTTAAATTCCATTCAAATTGACTTGATGGCACAGGTTTTTTCCTTTGTTCACCCTTCAAATCAAGTTCAAGGTTGACAAAGACTGTAAAAAGTCAGGAAAGGTCTAGCCTGTCTCATAGTTCCTGAACTGCATTATTTTTACTTCCATCTATGCCTTTCTGCAATGATAAAGCCCTAATTGAAGCAAGTCTAGTTTTATTTGGGTTCAGGAATCTCCCATCTCACTGAAGCTCCTTTTCAGTTTAAAAGGAATTGTTTGTTTGTATCAAAATTATATATATTCAGAGACTAATTGCTAGTCTTGGATGGTCCTGTTAGACATGGAAATCCTATCTAATCCAGTTTATGCCCGGTAAGTTAATTTTATTTTACAATGGTTTCTGAATATGAAACATTGTAAATTCATAATTTATGTATGTTGTTAGGATGATAACTAAATCTAGTCGTATCTTAAATACTTTATCAGTTTGGAAGAAAATTATAATTTCTTAATCGCACTTTTGAATTTAAGTTCTTAATCATTTTGAGAATAATATTGTTAATATTGATGTTACATAATGCAGACAATTATGAACGGGATCAAGAGACCTTGAGCTAGGCAGAGGAGAAATGTGATCTTCAAATTGCAGAATCAGAGGAGGAGTCTCTGAGGCATTCGAAAGGGAGGAAGGGGTAGGTTATGTTTTATATTTCTACCTTAACTAGGGATGTAGTGATTCATAATTTTCATGAATCGATATGTATCATGATACTCATGGCATGATTCGATATGTATCATGATACCTATTTTCTCTGCATTATTGAGTGAATTTATTTACATTTTGAACATTAATATTTCATATTTTATGATTGTCCATGAAAAGATCAACATTTTTTATCCTCAGAGATTAAAAAGTTCTAATTTCCCATCTTGTGCATGAAAAATAATTATTCATAACTCTCATAACATAAAAAAAACATGATACAATTGCAAAATGTAAACAATACATATTACAACATATTTAAACAGATACTTTCAAAACTAAATATCGATACAGTTTTGAATGTATTGATAATTGTACCGTCTTAGAAAAAGTATCAATGCATCGATATATTTAGGCATCCCTAACCTTAACAATGTTCTGGCCTACCTTTAGAATTCAGCACCACAAACTTGCAATACCCCATGAAGTAATGCCTCATGAATCTTTGCAAATTGTTTAATCCTTCTCAATATTAGTACAGTTATCTTGAATGGTTGTGTGCCGATCAGTACCGTGTGAAGCAATACATGTTTTAGGTATTATCTCAATACAGGATCTTATACTATTGATAAATGTAACAAGAAATTCAAAATGGCCAATAAGAGATTAATTGATACACATGGAATAGTGTTATATACAGATAGTCTGTCTTTGATGACATATGTGAAAAATTTTAAGACAAATTGTATTTACTCTCATAACAAGGAGTTCCATACAAGTATTGTGGTTTTGATCATGGAAAACTTTACAGTAAATGTAGATTTTTTTTAAAACTGGCAGAATTTCCTCTGTTCATATATCAATAGGGTAATTTTCAACATTTTTAAGCTTTTCTATTGACTTTTGCACTTGAATGATGTCCAAACATTTACAATTCAAAAATTAATCCCTGCAATAATAATGTTTTTTATAGAGATATCATTTTCACTTTTAGGTTACCATCTACTCATATCTTACCAGTTTCATGGAGAGCTGATGTGTGTCATGTTTCGTAGTACACACAATTCAGACCAGACCCATGAAGAGAAAATATTGGCATTTCTCAATACAGAGTATACAAATTAACATATAGCCTACATTTTGTTGTTTTTCTGTAGTCAATAATTCAATCTTCCCTCAGATAATCAGGTATGAAAGTTCTGACACCATTCTGTTCATATCACAGGGGTGGGTGGGGGTGGGGATGGGTGGGTTCTCAAATAAATTTGTTTTACATAATTGTATCAGGTGTTTAAATGGGTTGTTATCAAATGATTCATGTAATTGTCAATACATTTGCATTGATGTTTTTGTGTCCTTCATACACAGGAAATTCAGCAAATGAGAACTGAAGACACCTGTATTCCATGTCAGCAGATACATTTTCTTCCTTTACCTTTTCAGGATTCAGATGTAGTATCTGTGAGAAGGTACTAAAATGTAAAGGTGGATATAGTGTTCATCAGCAGATGCACTGAAGTCAAAAGGTACCAACAGTTTTAGTTGTTTCTTTCTAGATATCAAGATCAGTGAACACCCATAACATATCATATCATGATACGGAGTCAAGAATGTGGTTAGCACGACCGCTTTTCATCATATTATTGGCAGGTCATTAGTAAAACAATCAAGCTTTCGCTACTAAATTCCATTGTATACAACTAGGATGTGTTGTCTAAAGGTCTGTGTTTATGATGAATAGGATGTATTGTGTTAACCATCGGGCAACTTATATATACTGACACACATTGAAACGCAAAACCAAATTCAAATGAGGAAAACTTAACAAACAACAATACTTGGATGAAAATTGTTCTACAGTTATGTTGAGGATTTCATTGTGCTTCATTTTCCTAAAAAATGATTGCAAGTGTTCTGCCAATATGACTGACACGTCAAGCGTCACACACAGACCCCCCTTACGTCCGTCAGTAGCGAGTGTGACCTCCCTGAGCCTGTACACATGCAAGGAGTCGACGTGGCATGGATTCGCACAAACGTCGAACAGGTGTTTGGGGGATGTTCTGACACTCCTGTTGTAAAGTCAGGGTCAACTCAGCGACGTTGTTTGGCTGACGTTGACGTTGACATTGATGAATCCGGCGACCAAGCTCATGTTCATGTTGCGCCTGTAGACAGGTTGTCTGCCATCTGCAAATGACACACAGAACCTGGACCCATTGAAAAACACCCACTGGTTGGAGATTCATGGTGGTTGGAGGCTATGTTGCTGTGCAAACAGGAGTCTGTTGACTCGATGACGTTGCGTAATGACGTTTCCCAATATGGCCCTTTAGTGCCAAAGCCTGCAGACGTCAAATGATTGTCATGGCGCTGATGTGGTGTCCTTTACGTCCTACGGTGTTTCGAGGTGAGTTTGCTGCTGTCTGAAAGCGGTTTCTTTGGTGAACTTGTCGGATGTGCCGGTCCAGTTTGCTGATGACAATTTTGGAGTTTGTTGATGGTGGATGGGCTCACTCCGAAGTGGTGGGTGACCTCATTTTGTGATGTTCCCACCAACAGCATCCCGATAACTTGTTCCCTCTGCTGTTCACTTAGTCGTGGCATTTTGTGACTGCTAGTGAAACGGTTGAACCATAGCGTCTTTTATGAGTCCAAACCTGGCTTTGCATGTGTATGTCATGATAATCATGCACCCCAACAGGTCCAAGGAATATGCCAGAGTTGTGTTTTCATGAACTGTACCCATGCCAGAAACAAGAAAAGGGTTCGAACCCAGATGTGCATATGGTTTTATTCAGCAACCTCACATGACTATATTTTCGTGTGGTAAATGAAATTGCTTCACAAAACTTTGTTAGAAATTGCCAAAATTGGTTTGTCAATGTGTGTCAGTATATATATGTATTAATATTTAGCAGACTCTTGTGCAAGATATGTATATCATTATCATCAGAATGTTGGGTAACACATCCTATCTGTTATAATCACAGCCCATTGGGCAACACATCCTATCTGTTATTTTTACATACCTTTGGGCAACACATCCAATGTTATATTTTATACAGACCAATGGGCAAAACATCATATATATTAACAGCAGACTTTATCAGTAGACCTTTGGGCAACACATCATATATATTATCAGTAGACCTGTGGGCAACACATCATATATATTATCAGTAGACCTGTGGGCAACACATCATATATTCAGTAGACCTTTACGCAACACATCATATATATCACCATTCGGCTTTTGGGCAACACATCATATATATTATCAGTAGACCTTTGGGCAACACATCATATACATTATCAGTAGACCTTTGGGCAACACATCATATATATCACAAGTAGACCTATGGGCAACACATCATATATATTATCAGTAGACCTTTGGGTAACACATCATATATATTATCAGTACACCTTTGGGCAACCCTTCCTATCATCAGTAGACCTTTGGGCAACACATCATATATATCACAAGTAGTCCTGTGGGCAACACATCATATATATTATCAGTAGACCTTTGGGCAACACATCATGCATATTATCATTGGACCTTTGGACAACACATCATACATATCACCAGTAGACCTGTGGGCAACACATCTATATTATAAGTAGACATTTGGGCAACATATCATATTGTCAGTAGACCTTTGGGCAACACATCCCATATATATCAACAGTACACCTTTGGGTAACACATCTTATTTATCACAAGTAGACCTGTGGGCAACGCATATATATATTACCAGTAGACCTGTGGGCAACACATATATATCACCAGTAGACCTTTGGGCAACACATCATATATATCACAAGTAGACCTTTGGGCAACACATCATATATATTAACAACTTTATCAGTAGACCTTTGGGCAACACATCATATATATTATCAGTAGACCTTTGGGCAACACATACATATATTACCAATAGACGTGTGGGCAACACATCACATATATCACAAGTAGACCTTTGGGCAACACATCATATATATCACAAGTAGACCTGTGGGCAACACATCATAAAATCCGTAGACTTTTGGGCAACACATCTATATCATAAGTAGACCTTTGGGCAATACATCATATTGTCAGTAGACCTTTGGGCAACACATCCCATATATATCACTAGTAGACCTTTGGGCAACACATCTTATATAATACCAGTAGACCTTTTGGCAACACCTCATATGTATTATCAGTATGCCTGTGGGCAATACATCATGTATATTATCAGTAGACTATTTGCCAACACATCATGTATATTATCAGTAGACCTTTGGGCAACACATCATATAAACAGTAGACTTTTGGGCAACGCATCATATATATTATCAGTAGACCTGTGGGCAACACATCATATAATCAGTAGACGTGTGGGCAACACATCATCTATATCCCCAGTAGACTTTTGGGCAACACATCATAGATATTATTAGTAGACCTGTGGGCAACACATCATATAATCAGTAGACGTGTGGGCAACACATCATCTATATCCCCAGTAGACTTTTGGGCAACACATCATAGATATTATCAGTAAACCTGTGGGAAACACAACATATAATCCGTAAGACCTTTGGGCAACACATCTATATTATAAGTAGACCTTTGGGCAACATATCATATTGTCAGTAGACCTTTGGGCAACACATATATATATTACGAATAGACGTGTGGTCAACACATCATATATATCACCAGTAAACCTTTGGGCAACACATCATATATATCACAAGTAGACCTGTGGGCAACACATCATATATATTATCAGTAGACCTTTGGGCAACACATCATGTGTATTATCATTAGACCTGTGTGAAACACAACATATAATCCGTAGACTTTTGGGCAACACATCTTTAGTATAAGTAGACTTTTGGGCAATACATCATATTGTCAGTAGACCTTTGGGCAACACATCTTATTTATCACAAGTACACCTGTGGGCAACGCATATATATATTACCAGTAGACCTGTGGGCAACACATCATATATATCACCAGTAGACCTTTGGGCAACACATCATATATATCACAAGTAGACGTGTGGGCAACACATCATATATATCACCAGTAGACCTGTGGGCAACACATCATATATATTATCAGTAGACCTTTGGGCAACACATCATGTGTATTATCATTAGTCCTGTGGGCAACACATCATATAATCCGTAGACCTTTGGGCAACACATCATATATATTATAAGTAGACCTGTGGGCAACACATCATATAATCCGTAGACCTTTGGGCAACACATCTATATTATAAGTAGACCTTTGGGCAACACATCATATTGTCAGTAGACCTTTGGGCAACACATCCCATATACATCACCAGTAGACCTTTGGGCAACACATCTTATATAATACCAGTAGACCTTTTGGCAACACCTCATATGTATTATCAGTATGCCTGTGGGCAATACATCATGTATATTATCAGTAGACGATTTGGCAACACATCATGTATATTATCAGTAGACCTGTGGGCAACAGATCATATGTATTATCAGTATGCCTGTGGGCAACACATCTTACAATCAGTACACCTTTGGGCAACACATCCTACATACAGTAGACCTGTGGGCAACACATCATATGTATTATCAGTACACCTTTGGACAACACATCTTTCAATCAGTAGACCTATAGGCAACACATCATATGTATTATCAGTACACCTTTGGGTAACACATCGTATATATCATCAGTAGACTTTTGGGCAACACATATAATCAGTAGACCTTTGGGCAACACATCATTTTTAGATCCAGTAGACTTGGGCAACAAATCAGAGATATCAACAGTAGACCTGTGGGCAACACATCATATGTATTATCAGTAAACCTTTGGGCAACACATCCTACAATCAGTAAACCTCTGGGCAACACATCAAATATATCACAAGAAAACCTGTGGGCAACACATTATATATATTATCAGTAGACCTTTGGGTAACACATCATATTATCAGTAGACCTTTGGGCAACACATCATATCATCAGTAGACCTTTGGGCAACACATCATATATATTATAAGCAGACCTGTGGGCAACACATCATATAATCAGTAGACCTTTGGGCAACACATCATATATATCACCAGTAGAGTTTTGGGCAACACATCATAGATATCACCAGTAGACCTGTGGGCAACACATCATATATATTATCAGTAGACCTTTGGGCAACACATCATATCATCAGTAGACCTTTGGGCAACACATCATATCATCAGTAGACCTTTGGGCAACACATCATATATATTATAAGCAGACCTGTGGGCAACACATCATATAATCAGTAGACCTTTGGGCAACACATCATATATATCACCAGTAGAGTTTTGGGCAACACATCATAGATATCACCAGTAGACCTGTGGGCAACACATCATATAATCCGTAGACTTTTGGGCAACACATCTATATTATAAGTAGACCTTTGGGCAACATATCATATTGTCAGTAGACCTTTGGGCAACACATATATATATTACGAATAGACGTGTGGTCAACACATCATATATATCACCAGTAAACCTTTGGGCAACACATCATATATATCACAAGTAGACCTGTGGGCAACACATCATATATATTATCAGTAGACCTTTGGGCAACACATCATGTGTATTATCATTAGACCTGTGTGAAACACAACATATAATCCGTAGACTTTTGGGCAACACATCTTTAGTATAAGTAGACTTTTGGGCAATACATCATATTGTCAGTAGACCTTTGGGCAACACATCCCATATATATCACTAGTAGACCTTTGGGCAACACATCTTATATAATACCAGTAGACCTTTTGGCAACACCTCATATGTATTATCAGTATGCCTGTGGGCAATACATCAAGTATATTATCAGTAGACTATTTGCCAACACATCATGTATATTATCAGTAGACCTTTGGGCAATACATATATACAATCATTAGACCTTTGCACAACACATCATATAAACAGTAGGCTTTTGGGCAACACATCATATGTATTATCAGTACACATTAGGACAACACATCTTACAGTCAGTACACCTATGGGCAACACATCTTACAATCAGTAGACCTATGGGCAACACATCATATGTATTATCAGTACACCTTTGGACAACACATCTTACAATCTGTAGACCTGTGGGCAACACATAATATATATGATCAGTACACCTCTGGGCAACACATCATATGTATTATCAGTACACCTCTGGGCAACAGATCATATGTATTATCAGTACACCTTTGGGCAACACATCTTACAATCAGTACACCTTTGGGCAAGACATCCTACAATCAGTAGACCTGTGGGCAACACATCATATGTATTATCAGTACACCTTTGGGCAACACATCTTACAATCAGTACACCTTTGGGCAAGACATCCTACAATCAGTAGACCTGTGGGCAACACATCATATGTATTATCAGTACACCTTTGGGTAACACATCATATATATTATCAGTACACCTTTGGGCAACACATCATATAATCAGTAGACCTTTGGGCAACACATCATATATATCACCAGTAGACGTTTGGGCAACACATCAGAGATATCACCAGTAGACCTGTAGGCAACACATCATATGTATTATCAGTACACCTTTGGACAACACATCTTACAATCAGTAGACCTGTGGGCAACACATCATATGTACTATCAGTACACCTTTGGGCAACACATCCTACAATCAGTAAACCTCTGGGCAACACATCATATGTATTATCAGTACACCTTTGGGCAACACATCAAATATATCACAAGTAAACCTGTGGGCAACACATCATATATATTATCAGTAGACCTTTTGGTAACACATCATATATATTATCAGTACACCTGTACGGCATTGTACGGGACAGAGCTCGATGCCTGTCTGACATGACTGAAGAACAAATTGTCAAGGAACTCTCTCAGCAATCCGTCACAGCCGTAAAACGATTCACCTTCAAAAAGGACGGTGTTGTTCAACCAACGAACACCTATCTCTTCACATTCGCGCGAGCAAACATTCCTGATTCGATTAAAGCTGGTTATTGTAGCATTGGTGTGGAGGTGTATGTCCCCAATCCACTCCGGTGCTACAACTGCCAAAAGTTCGGACACGGATCCAAGTCCCGTCGTTCCTCTGCTGTTTGTTATCGCTGCGGTGACAAGCATGAGGGCAACTACTAAGGAAGTGAAGTGCACAAACTGCGGTGGTAACCATATGGCCTCTTCCAAGTTTTGCCCAGTGTGGAAACGCGAATCCGAGATCCTAAAGATCAAGCACAAAGAAAATATCTCCTTTCATGAAGCAAAGAAGAGGGTCGCAAGTTTAACTACAGCCCCTTCAACCATCACCTACTCTTCTGCTGTCTCCCGTCCTTCTATCGCTGCTGCAACCATCTCATGTCAGACCGACCTGACATGGATCATGTCATCTCAGCCAACTCAACTCAACTGAGCCCATCTCGGCCACTCCATCTCCAACGCCAAAAGTCAAAACCTCTAAATCACAAACACCAGAACAAATGCCAAAACCAGAAACAGAAACTGCGTGCAGAAAAAGGGAAAAAAAGAGGCTAGAGAGACTAAAGCAACTTGAACAACTGCCAAACACAAAACCAAAGGCCACCTCTCCCTCAGAGGTCCCCATCGAGGTCCATAACTCCTTTGGCCCTCTGGATATGGAGGTAACTCCATCTCCACCAGACACAAATAGGAGTTCATCAAACGCTTTCTCACGTTTACGTGACATGTCACCAGTGGAAGCACCATGAATCCACAAAACATGATCCAATGGTATTGCAGAGGACTTAAGAATACTTATAATGAATTACAGTTATTGATTCAAGACTTCAAACCATCCGCGTTTTGTCTCCAAGAAACCTACCTAAAAAGGACCGATAAATCTGACATCCGTCGGTACAGTTCCTACCACTCCTTTTCTCCTCCCGGTGTAAAAGCTACAGGAGGCACTTCGATCCTGGTGAGGCAGGGCATCCT